ATCTCTCCTCCAATCAAACTTTCCCAGTTAATGAAGTAGACTACATATGAAAAAATATAAATCATTAATCAAAACAGGCTGAAAAATATATCAAAGTCCATAAAGATCTGAAGCCTAGCAAACTTCAACTGGTTGAGTTATAACCTCAAAAGTTATAATTTTCCTATACTAAAAATTATTTCTGATAGGTATTTCCTTCCACCCACAAGATTAGCTATTCTTGTCCAGAGCTGCCCTCTATATGAACATTTTTTCTTATGCATGGCACAAGCCTTCTGCTCCCCCTATTGGAATCAAATGATTCCAACATGTCTCTCATATAAATCATCATGCATCACTTCTCCACTAATAGGAGCATAACACACTCAAGTGATGCATGTTACTCCCTCTATACGCCTCTAACAAATTATCACTTCAAGGTTTGGCAGAAGACGTAAGCACCGGAGGAAAGTGGAGAGAAAGGGTGAGTGGAGGGAAGTACCTATTGGAAATACATTTTCAGCATAGAAAAACTATAATTTCCAATACAGTGCTTCCCTTGGCTCACAAGATTAGCTAGAATCACACATTGATTAGGTGACATAATAGGTGTGAGTTAATGACAGAATACCCCCTGAAAGCATCCTAAGGTCACCCCTGGAAATGAGAGAGCAGCTCCGAAGATCTGATGAGGTGAACCACACCACTTCTGAACCAGGTATACTCCTCACCCATCCATGAAATGTGTAGTAGATAAGGGCGGCAAAAGAGAGGAGCACATCTAAGTGGGAGAGAAGTGTGGCATGTTAGTGATACTAACCATGTAAATATCTATGTAACTCAATCCCACAAATTATAAAAGTGGGTAACACAATGGATGTGACCCTAGGTGTAGAATGGCTAGGGTACGATGGACTGTACTAGGTAAGTCTAGTTGACATCCATGTGAAGGTAGGATGAGGATCATACAATCTTCATCTCAAGTTCAAGATACCAGAGGGAATCTAGAACCACTACTCCTGAGTATGACATGTGTTAGCTTTGATCTATCGATCCAGAGACCCGACATATGGTATTGAAAGGATGTCTATATAATATAACTCAATTCCCAAAACAGCGAAACTAACCAGAACCATCTGAAAAGTAATAACATCCTAGGAATAAGATACAATGAGTGATAACAAAAAGGACAGAACCAGAACAATACCCCTTACCTCCACTGTGACCACAACACAGAAGGAGTATGATCGAGAGAGAGAGGAATATATACAACCAAAAACATGTGTGAGGACTTATGTTGATTGGTTCTACTCTAAATCCATAACCCAGCTACGAGGTACCGACATCCACGTGGAGGTAGGATGAGGGCTCCCAATCAAAGGGGTGAACTGCAATTTGATGTCTCACTCCTTTGTGAGTGAATGTTGCATGTTGGAGGATAGCACGTCATCAACACCAGCAGAACACCATCGCACTACTCTACACTGAATGGTTATAGTCATCTTTGTGTGGAACCCATCCCATTCAAGAGGGAAAGTGGAAAGTATTCCCATACTCCACTAGAAGAAAGGGAGTTAGAATGCAGTGGAGAGTCCAGGGGAACGTCATCACCTGAGACAGTGCAATGGGTGACCACGAAACCCTATTTTGGAAAGCAGACCATACTGATTTATTCAATACAAGACATAGTAGAAATGGGCAGCTATCCCTTTCTGCTTTACCCGTGCAGTCCATGGGTGGTACAGTCTGAAACGGGCAAGTTTATGAAGCCCGTGAAGGGCCAGACATGCTAATCTCATCCATTAATTGTAAAGCAAATTGGTCAGTATGTACCCAAATATCTCGGGAGGGGGAAAACCAAATTGGGATGGGAAGATTGGTCAGGTGGTAAGGAAGGACACGATTCATAGGAAATAAGGGAAAGGAATAAAATGATGAGAGACGAAATCCAAAAAAGACCATATTAGACCTAACTGACTCCTCAGGTTGGGCATGGGAAGGCATGGCAAAATCAGGAGGTGGAAATAGGCAATCCATGTTCTCATCCACTTGAACAGGCTCAGCTTGTTCGGGAGGAAGTGGGGTAAAGTCCAGAGACAGAGGTTGACCCATGTAATGTTCATTCTCCTGGCAAATAAACGCAGATAAATCCCCTGCTGGGTCACCTACACCTAAGGCCTGAGACATAGCACTAGTCGCAGGTGTGACCCCAAAAGTGGCAACATGAGCTTCGGAATTTAAAATGAGGAAGAGTCAACAAATAATTGAAAGAATAAATAACAATGGCACTGTAATAAACTGGGATTAAAGTGAAGTTAAGAAACAGTCTTAATAGAAAATAGAAGTGAAAATAAATGAAGACCACTAAAAATGAATGTGAAACTTTAAACAAACAAAAAAGGCATATGTTCAAACACAAGCACTGCCAAACAAGAAGTGAGAGTTCGGTACAGGCATACAGAAGGAGACACATACGTCATGTATATCACGCTCCTATTGGTAAAGGAGTGATGCATGATGATTTACATGAGAGACATGTTGGAATCATTATTCCAATAGGGGAAAGCAGAAGGCTTGTGGCATGCATAAAGAAACAATATGCACATAGACAGCAGCACTGGGCGAGAATAGCTAATCTTGTGAGAAGAGGGAAGTACCATATCGGAAAAGATCCTCGTTCTCCCACAGTTAAAAAAGCCCAAAATTCATAACTAACTAAATGCAAGAGGATGTATTTTACATAAAAACTAAGTTAAGTTCAAAGTGTAGTTTGGAGCTAAAATGAGAAATAAAATTCACAAAAAAAAGTCACAACACCAGGATAAATGTTCAAGCAATGTGTGCAAACTTCACAAAATGCCAAAAGAAAATGTAACTATATAAGATTGCGTAAGTTCAAAATATTGTTAGTGAAGGTGGCATCACATAACAGAAGATAACAAGTCTAGAGATTCTGTAAAATAGAGCATGAAACACACAATTACATAATAATTTCACACAGAATGAAATATACAAAACTATAGACTGCTAGTGATAGATAATAAATGAGAAAAGCAATAAAAAAAAAGTCTAACATTAGCACAAATAATAGGTAAGGCTCAAAGCTGTAATAGGTATATTGTTATATTTGAACCCTTTCTGGGCCAGAAAGTGTTCAGCATTAACCCTTTCTGGACTAGATGGATGTCACTATTGTCCTTTGATTTTTCTTCTTCTAATAGTGAAAAAACTTAACCAAACTGCATGAAACTTAGCATAAACATATTAAATGGTATATAGTTTTGTCTTAAAAAACATACATAATTTGATTTAGAGTTCCTTTCATTTTTAGGTTGTGAAGTTTCTGAAATTTTGTTCTTCAATAAACAATAAAATACTTCAGCTTAGATTTACTGATCAGAAAGTTCTAGTTTGTATATCCTGTCAGTTTGAACTTGATTGATATTAATTAACATTTTTTAATGCTTCATTTTACCAATTCCAGGTATACACTTGACACCTAAAAGGTGGTGGTCGTTTGTAACAAGGTTATGAAAAAAAGTAAACATATATTGAAAATTATATACACTAAACATAAAGTTTTGCTTTAAAAAACCAAAGGTAAAAAGCAACACAGTTCTAGTGACAAATGCAACATCCAAAGCTCTAAATTTAATTTTTGATTACTTGCACTGTTATATACAATTTATTTTTCAAGATGTGACTTAACAAGTAACTACATCATGTGTGTTGCCATGACTCACCTACTCAAAGCTTGAGGAAGGCTGGAAATAATAGGTCCATAACCTTGAGCATTGTCATACAACTCAAAGAGAGGTGCTGCAACAAGCTTGTAGTTCTTTGGTACTGCAAATAATGCTGAAAAAAGAATAACATTTCAAGATGTTTTTTTAATCAAACCATTTGTATTTAATGAATAATATAGTAGTGATATGTTGTCCTTTTTAATCCCCCAAACAAGTAAGCAGTTTAAAATGTTTTATATATCTCTGGTAAAACTAAACAAAAGAAATTAATCTTTTCTTATAACAAAGATATACATATAATTATTTGTATTCAAAAATACAAAATAAATAATACAAATGAAGCCCCTTCTTTCATAAAATGTGAATAAGGGTAACACAGTGTTTAGAAAGCTCTTTGTTTTGAACCATTTCTTTGGAAAAGTGGACCATTAATCTTCAAAATATATGGAAACTTATTTTAATTTTCTTGGTTTTTAAAAGGGCTTAATGTTAATAAAGGTGATACAATTAGTCTTGTTTCACTCCTAATAAAAATACTGACAAACCATCTAATAAAATTGTAATTATCTCAAAAGTTAAGCTGTTAATATGGCTTAAATAAAAAAAAAATTAAAATGGTAGTCAAATTTATATTAAAATATACCATTTACCAGAGAATACATATACATATTTCATTTCTATGTGAACTGTCTAAAACATTTTCTCTATAATCTTAAAATATATAATTCCTTCTTGTGTATAATTATGTTCAAATTTGTATGTGGTTTGTATGTTCTGAATTCAAAGGTAGCACTATTCCTTAGAAAAACAATAACACAGGATTAAAGTACTAGATAAATTTACTTTATTATGTTTATATATAGACTATAAACAAACAACTTTAATTTCAACTAAACCACATTATCCAATAATTTTTAAACCTGTTTAGGCTAGTATAACATGCATCATATTGAAACTTGTAACTTAATACATAATTAGCTCATAACATATGCCTTTTTATGGCTGAACATCTGATTCTAATTGTTGTTACTTTGACTTACTTTAATTGTAATGTTTCTCATAATTAAAACAGTGATTCAACACAAAACTAAGATATTTCTTGCAAAAACTGCTCAGTCCTTTAGAGATATAGTGAGAATTTCATACCTGCTAACTTTCAAAAAGTAAAAATTTTAGTCAATAAATTCCAACAGCATTTCATTGAGTGGGAAGACTCGTTTAGAGCATTAACAGAATTTTAATCTCTTTCAACAGTACCTTTGTACTTTTTGTAGAATAACTCGAAATATTGAAATAATATTATAATACTATGATTACTTACATTTGCTTTGTGTAGAATTACAAAATTTCGTCAACTTTAATACTCATCAACTTTGTTTATAGTAGATCTGTAATGCTTATATTTCCTTTCACTGATATAACAGTACAAAGTTATATTCATTCTGTCATTAAGACCATCATGAAAAATAGGTTTGAAGTTTAAAGTTTCCGAAAGTAAAAAAAGTGGTTAGATAGTCAACAGTGAATTTAATGTTTATATATGCAATATTTATTATTGTTTACGTATATATTTTTTCTAAAATTAATAACTTCTACAAGAACAGTTGCTAAAATTCTACAATGATAATTAGAATTAATAACAAGTCTCAATTATGAGTAACAGGCATACTACAAAAATTTCTAATGACCACTCTACCCTAGCCCATCAGTTGGTTACCCTTGCTGCTGACTGTTTTTAAGGCACTCCTTATGCAAATTGTATATCAATACATACACTTCAAGAAATGGGGCAGAATTGGGATTTTAAGGGAATTACAAATGTATATTAACTTATTTTCTTTTTCAATTATTTCAACCAGTCAGTGATAAACACATTAAAAAGTTTGATTAAAATTTAAACTTTATACGAAAAACATGTGGTAGGAAACAAATGTTATATAAAATTGATTGTGGCATAAAATATAAGTGTGCTTATTATAAACATTATTTGTTTTCATTTGACAAAATTAAGGTAATGGTACTAAAAGAAAATGTCATCTAAATTAATTTTTTTTTAATCATGAACCACAGTAATGGTTTATAATAGGGATCACCTATTCGTTCTTCTTTTTGTTATTATTGTTTTGCCAGCCTACAGAAAAAACAGACACGAGTATTACAATAAAACTTGGGCAATATTACTAAATGGATCATTGCACATTGTGTAGGGTACATTGTCAATTATTCCTATATTTTTCATAAGCTAAAAAAATCATAATTCTGGAGTAAAAGGTTTAGGACACAGGATAAATAAAAAATTGCAGTATTACAATAAAACTTGGGCAATATTACTAAATGGATCATTGCACGTTGTGTAGGGTACATTGTCAATTATTCCTATATTTTTCATAAGCTAAAAAAATCATAATTCTAGAGTAAAAGGTTTAGAACACAGGATAAATAAAAAATTGCAGTATTACAATAAAACTTGGGCAATATTACTAAATGGATCATTGCACATTGTGTAGGGTACATTGTCAATTATTTCTATATTTTTCATAAGCTAAAAAAATCATAATTCTAGAGTAAAAGGTTTAGAACACAGGATAAA